CGTTTGCAGAGCTCTTTTGTTGTTGTTTTCCTCTGATTCCCGAAGCTGACAGCTGGCTGCCCGCTTAGGGGCGGGAGAGAGACGGGCCTGTATAAGCGTATCTCCTTAGGGCCCGAGAGATGCTTGGTTATGGGACGGTTAAGGTCGGTCGCATCTGTTAATTACAGGGGATGCCATTGTGAGTTAAATATTTATGCTGAAAGTTTGTGTTTGGTTGCGCCTCTTGCAACACAAGAGAAATGCAGGGCACAGAGTCTGCTGGTGATTTGGTGGGAAACTCAGCTCACTATAAAATACTTGCCTTTCTTTTGAGCTCTACAAGCAAGTGTCATACTAAGTAATTCCAGATTAATTGATAGATTAGACCTCATCGCTCCTGTTAAAATTGAGCTTAGGCTTTTATCTTGTATCATCGTGCTTCCTTAACGTATTCTGCAAAACATGAGTAGCAGAAGGGAGCCCCAGGTGAGCAGGAGGTGAAGTGTCCCTAGCGCTTTGGGAAGGGAGTGTTTGTCAGCCCCGTTACCTCCGCTGCTGTGTGATGCTGCGATAGCTTTGCCGCAAGTTGCAATGTTTTCCCCAGACTTGGGGCTTTATGCTCTTACCAGTGCTCTGGAATTGGCCTTTTCTAGTTGTAAAAGGATAATTTTGCTTCTGTGGTAAATGCATCCTTTATTTTCTTTGCTGAGACTTTTCAAAGTGACATAACAGTCATGGTGAAGGGCATTAAACAGTTAGCAGCTACAAAAAGACTGTCTTTCAACAGGCAGATTTTTATGGATGCATAGGCAACTGTGCACACTGAAGCAGCAGTACGCAGTCTCCAGTAATAAGACCTCGTTATCTTGTTGGCCAAGCATCCTGACAGTCTTTGGTAATTGAAAGTGGCATATTTCGGAGGTGCTTACAGGTTGATCTACTTTGAGTCCACAGTGTTCACAGTTCTTTTTCTTTGTTGCATTGTATATATATGTATATTTATGTATATGTACGTATATTGTTTTTTTTGAGCACAGTAACAGTCAGCTCTGTGGCCACTTTCTGTGCCTCAGCAATGTTCTTTCCTTTCCAAGGACCCCTCCCTTTACTTTTCTTACTGAGTTTTGAATTGTACAGTGGCAGGTCTTTTTCCTATTTTTTTGGTTTCAATTGTGGTTTATACTACCTGTTGGTCATGCTAACGTAGCTTACTTGGCCTTCACTAGTAACAAGTCTGGCAGGGGGTTTTATGGCCTGTTGCCTGTGAACTAGAAGTGACGACGCCCACTACCTTCTGAAAGGTATATAAGTTGGCTTTATTAACAAAAAAAAACCTTTAAGAATGCTTCTCTTGACAGACTCTTGTGTCAAGCTAATGATAAAAGGAAGATGAGAATAACTGTTTTTTCCCTAGTGTAATAGAAATTTACCCATAGTAAGGGTAGTAATAGTGATAGTTTGCAGTCTGGCCATGTTGGTGTCTGGCAACGCAGTCTAACAGCAACAGGAGTCACAACGCCAGTGTCTGGGACTCTGGTAAAAAACATGGAAGACTAAATTCTGATTCTTTATTTTATTTGGCAATCAGTAGAGTTTCCCTGTGGGAGTCACTGTAGCTGTGGAATTAATAGTCTTTATTTTATACGTCAGTCACCTGTAAATGCTAGATGTTTTAGTAGTCTCCAAAGCCATGGCACTTGTTTTCATAGTAACTCACAGAGCTGCAATTTTGGAGTGGCTGTAACTTTGACAACTAGGGAAACATTTTTAATAAGGCCCTAATTCTGAGCAGTCCAGAGACAGCTCCAAGATAACTTTAGCAGGAGTTTGTGGATATCTGATATTCCTCAGCTCATGGCCATTAGCAAAAGCAACAGGTAGTAACAAACCTATAAAAAGCCTGGTTTAGGCTAGTGTAACCCCCAGCTGTTCATCCTCCCTGTGACAGGGTCCTGCTCCTGTAGCAGGCAGCAGAAGAGGGTGGATGTGATGCCTCAGCCTTTCCAGTGCCGCTGTGAGGAAAAACTAGCCAGAAGTTGTCTGTCAAAGCCCTGGCGTTACATTTCCCCACTAGTGACGTGACAGCCTTTTTGTTTTGAATTAGCAAAGCTTCTATTTGTAAAGAGGAAAGTTAGCTCTTACTATTTTGGTCCAGAGTTTAGATCTCTTTCAGTATAGAGCTTAACTTTTACCTTCACCTTAGTTAAGATAGTTTTACCGCTGTGAGGAAAAACTAGCCAGAAGTTGTCTGTCAAAGCCCTGGCGTTACATTTCCCCACTAGTGACGTGACAGCCTTTTTGTTTTGAATTAGCAAAGCTTCTATTTGTAAAGAGGAAAGTTAGCTCTTACTATTTTGGTCCAGAGTTTAGATCTCTTTCAGTATAGAGCTTAACTTTTACCTTCACCTTAGTTAAGATAGTTTTTCGTTATATCTTTATAGGTTTGTGGCTATTACTTTCCCTTCCTCCTTTAAGAAACTGTTGAAGCCCGTATCTTGATATTCTGCTGCCTTACTTGTGGAAGATGGTCAGAGTCAGGATTCTCCTCTTGACTTACCTGCAGGAATTGGTGCTTCATTTGCACAGGTGCCCTAAACTGCTGGGAAGGGAATGTACTAGACTTGAAATGTTTGTAAACAAGGCTATAAGAATGTCGTAGGATTCAGCATTCTTGTAAGATACTAGTGATGTCTGGCTTTGCTTTTCGAGATTTTGCCAATACTGTTGTGCATTTGCTGGTATCACAGAATGAAGTGGGTGAAATATTAACTGGCAGAATAAAGTATATTAATCATGGTGTCAGATGGCTAACCAATAGATGCAATACTCAATGCCTGTGTAAATCAGCAGTTTTAGGGATGAAAGCAATGTTCTTGTGGTTTTAGATGAGAAACCTGTTTCCCTGAGAAGAAAAGTTGTTCCTTTGGTTAGCGCCTTAACCAGAAGTTGTGGACATGATGGCAAATTCTTAGAGCCTGCTTGTTAAAATTCTGTGATGTTAGTAATAAAAGAGTATTTAATTTATGCTGAGTTGTTTTTACTGTACAAATACTCAGTGTTTCTTAAAATACTTATAGTACTTAAACAGCTTTCTAGAAGAGCTGAACTAAATAGGGAAAACTGTTTTGTTCTAACTGGCCAGTAGTTTAGAGCATACCAGTTAATTCAAATCAAGAATTTAAACTGGGCAAACTCTGCTGGCCTAGCTTTGCCAAAAGTGGATGAGGAGTGCTCAGGTGACTGTTCTCTTCATCAGTGGCTGCTGTACTTTCTGACAGGTGGGTGATAATATCTTTGCCAGCCTAGCTGTTTTCATAAGGAATATCTGAATATGCCCTAAATAATGTTAACTTTACTGAAAAAGTTTTATGCGTGAAAATAAATGCTTACTGAAGTTAAGACTGGAAGTTTGGGCCCTAACTAAAATAACTATTTAGTCCTCTGAGCTGGGGTTCACACCTAATCAGCGTCACAGGAAGCAGTTAGTGGGAAATGCACCTGTTGGACTTGGCTAGTCAGATGTTTTGCTGAGGATCAGCAGTTAGATGTGTGTGTGTGTGTGTCAGTATCCATATTAGCTAGCAATTTGGACTGACCTCCTTACCTTCATCAGAAGTCCATGCTTATTATTTATTTTATACTATTGTTAAAACTAATAGTTTTTCTGTGTCCTTCAAGGGGCAAGTGTAGGCAGACTGGAAGGTTTTAGCACTGTGCAAGTTGCTCCTATGAGTGGGCATCTTGGAACGTTTCCCCCACAGCACTGTCGGCCCAAACGCAGCCATCCTTTTCTCCCAGCCCCGACATCCCACCCTCTGCACTTCCTTTTTGTTTGTGAGGCTACACAGTAACTGAATTGAGGAACCGATCTAACTGACAACCTGGCAGGGCAGTCCTGTTTTGTTGTCAGTTCCCCAATCTGATTTCCGTGCTTGGACAGGCAGCTAGCCCCACCGGTACGGCTTAGGGGAGGAGGGATGAACATGTTGCAGGTGAAGGGAGACCGCATAACCCAGTTCAGAGTTATTCTGCCAAACATGTAAGAGCAGCCAAAGACTGCCCATACCAGTTACTGTTACTGTTCCTCAGGATGTGATAATAATTCTGGCTGGTGTTGGTGAGCGTGCTTTCCTATGTCCTGTGCCAGGTGGCTCACTGACCTGGGCATAAGGAAGGCTATTTTAAGAAAAGGCAAAGGATTTGGACTCTGCTGTCTTCAGCAGAACCCTGTGAGCCAGCCAGATTTGGAAGGGATTTTGTTTGGTGAAGTACTGAAATACATATCCAACCCCTTGGAAGTGATGCATTTTGTTGAAATACTTCTTGTAAGGGATATTTTTGGTGGGGGGGGGGGGGGGGGGGGAAGTAAATATGCCTGCTGCTGTACACTTGTTGGTATTTGACGTGGTCCATGTTCTCATCCTGGCTATTTTAACCACCTTTTCATTGCCGGAGTATGATAGTTAAGCCGTAGAAATGTGACAATTTAATTCCTAATATAAAAGGGACTTCAAGGTGAATGAAAGCCTCTACAAAAATAAAACTTCTGTAATTTTTTTTATTAAAATGAGTAATATAGAAGCAGATTTGTATTACAGCATATTTATGCTGCTGTTGCGCTCAAGCTTCTGAAAAGCAAGGCTTCTACAA